GCACAACGGATCCATCCCTCTCATTGAACACCAACTTGTAAACCATGAATCTCTCAGTCCAAAACTCTTCATGGTAGGCATCTCCGTCAACATCTTTCAAAAATCTTCGAACATGCAACAAGTCTCCATTGGTTGATTCCACGAGATAAGCTTTATCAGCATAACGCGAGAACGGACATTCTTGTGGGTTAAGAATCTTTGCTTCTATTGGCTTGCTATTGATATCAAAGGAAAGAATGTTTCCCCACTTTCCAACTGCAAAGACTTGACATTTATGAAATATAGCATCAGTAAGCAAGCACCCTCTTAAACGCTTGCTGTAAATCCAAAACTTTTGTCCTCCTTTAGTGAAAGCCAACTCAGAAACATGTTTGTAAATTGCTACAACCACATAACTGTCTGGATTCAATGTGGGATCTTCAGATAAGATAATCTTCGGGAGGCAAACCTCGCAGTACTTACGACGGACTTTGAAATCCAAGCGAGGGAGACGAATGGGCGCCACTGCTTTTCTGAAAGGGTTCACCAGAGTTATAGTCAATCCACCTCTATCTAACACATCCATTGTCGCCAACCAACCATGGCCATGGCTAGAATCACAATACCTCTTACTATTACAAGGCACTGGCAACTCAATGTCGTAGATTTTTCCTGCAGGGAAGCTGTACAGTTTTCGCTTTCCTTGGCATTCTGTTGGAACCAGGAGCATGGGGAGTAGCTTACGCCAACGCTGCGTTTTGTGATTGTATTCTTTTGCAAGAACGCACCATTCTTTGCAAACAGCAGCAAATCGAATATGGTCAATGGGTTCTAACAACCTATCCAAAACCAAAAAGAGAACGGGCAGAGGAAGACTTGTCCATTCTAATACTTGACTGCTACTCATCCTCAAGCCAACATCCATATTCCTATGTCTTATGAGAGAGAGTGTGTGTATATATATGCATATATGAGCAACAAAAGAACACAACAACAATAAAAACGAACATTTACAAATCTCCGATCTCAGACCACAAAGATGTCTCTACTTCTTGAGATATAAGTCCAAGAATCTTACAGGTCCTTGGCTAAAGAAGTCAGCATGGTCGCCATTGTCACTAGCTCGCTGGTACACAAGCCACCTCTTTCTGTCTCTTTCTCTCTCCCAACAGCTTGGATCAAAATTTTCTCATCCAAATGATCGAGAATGAGGATGCGAAATTCAGTCAAACCTCTCCGATTCCTTGTGGAAAATGGTTGACTTTACAAGGGCTGGTCATCAGAACCAGAGATTTGATTTTCTTCTTGTTTGGCTGTTGGATGGGTTTTCAAGTGATGTTTTTGGTTCCAACTTTCCATTCTGAAGGCTTTTGTCTTTTTTCTGTCCCGATAGAAAGCAAAACCTTAAAAATGATTTTAATGTTATTTTGTATTTTAGTTCAATAAAGTCAAACAGAGTAACATTTATTATCAAAATGGGGATGTAGCTCAAATGGTAGAGCGCCCGCTTTGCATGCGGGAGGTACAGGGTTCGATCCCCTGCATCTCCATTCCCTTTTGTAGTCAATTCTTATTTTGCACTACTTTTAGTTTTAGGGAAGTGAGTGACCATTTTAGTCTCTATTTTTTACACTAGTGAGTTCATGACTTTCTAGATATAAAAGTTTATGAAAAAATGGCTTGTGCCTCATTATTTTAGCATCAAGGTAGATTAAATAAATAGGTTTAGAGAGCCTCGAGTAAAAGAAAAATAGAGATCAATAACACTGTAATTTTAAAGATTATTTTTATCAAATTTCAAAAGACAATAGCTAAACTGTTATGTATAGACACGAAACTTTATGAGTGTAAATTGTAATTCATCCTTAATTTTCATTCAATATTTGGTTACAAGAAAAAAAAAAGTTTTTTTTTAAAAAAAAGAAAAAAAAACAGAAGAAGAAGAAATAGCCAATATTGACAATGAAACGACAACGTTTAAGTCAGTTTCAAACTTTGGTATCTTCCTAACCCAACGCCGCCTCTACTTCACTCCATGGTATCACTGTTTTCCCGTGTGAGCTGAACTCATACGAAATGGCGTCGATGATGGCATTGCTAAGGAGCAGCAGAGGAAACATGGCGTGCGTTTTCGGCACGAAGAGGTGGAACCACGTCGCAGCCATGCCTCCGCCGTTCGATGGAGTCATGGAACGTAAGATTTTATCGCCACAGTTGGTTCTGCCCGAGTCTGATCGGGACCCAGCGCAGAATAACAACATCGGATTCGGGTTCCCCAGTTTCTTGTTCGGTGGATCGATGGAACTCATGGCTGTCCCCAAGAGAAAGGTATATGTCTTTATATATTTGGGGATTGAGATTTTAGGGGTTTTAGGGTTCTGGGTTTTGGAAATTATTTACTGTATAAAACTTTTTTTTTAGATCAATAACAATAATAAATTCTTTTCTTTTTTAATACTGAAGTTTATTCTTAATTGGGTATGTAAATCCCTGTCCTTTTCTCTTCGCTGATAAATTCGTTTGCCTTCTGTATGGTAGAATTGCTCTGTTCTATATTGGGCACCATTTTTGAGCTTGCTTCTCTGAGTGTTCTCTTTCATCACTGTTTATGAAGATAATTAGTATAGAGTGCTTGTGCCAGTAGAAATTAGAGGTCAATTTTCTGATTTGGCCACTGTGATTGTCATTCTTGAAGGTAATGTCCCTTGTGTGATTGAATGGTTAATTTAGTTCTGGCTCATCATCTTTCTTAGATATGTTTTGTTTCCATGTTTTTCATCACCTTTTGAAGATCTACAATTGAAGGCATCATATGTCCTATAAGTCTGAAGCTTCATTTACTTTTTTGTTGTCATTGCGCTATTGTAATTGACGTTTTAGAAGATGTGGAGTTTTGATATTTAAGGCTGGATATCGTGCAGACTTCTCCCCACAAGAGAGGCATAAGAAATGGCCCCAAGGCTTTGAAACCTGTTCCAGTGATAATCCGATGCAGGTTAGTATTTTGTAAATTATGACCAACACAGCTCTTGGTCTAGTTGTATTTGTTTTCCCGATATTGGTTGAGGTCCCAAGTTCAAATTTCCCCTTTCAATTCATCACAACAAAAAGTGTTTTGTAAAGTATCTAAGATTTCTCATTTCAGTGGAGAAGTCGATGCATTCCAGGAAATACTTATGATATCTTATTGATAATTTAGTTTTGAATATTGTCTTAGTTAGAGAAACAACCAAATTTTGGGGGATTACTTCATTAATCATTTTTCATCCTTTTTTGCCCTGCAATAGAAAAAGTCTGGTATTCTGACACTTCCAGAACAATTGAAGTTTCTGGTTAGTCTTTGATCAATGTGGTGAGCAGATGAAATGATTCCGTTTATCAAGATAATGTTCATTGTATTACCAGGGTGGCAGCATTGAATTAGAAGGTTTTGATGGGAACAAGGTTATGGGCTTTCATAAGGAAAAAGAGAGATTAAGAAAGCATGGGAAAATGATATTTACCAATTGAGAAAAAGCATGAAATTGAACAACACTTAGATGTTTATATTTTATTGCTGAGAGAATGCTTTGGCTTACTCTTTTAGTCTCATGAAGTAAATCCAGTGTGTTGTTTAATTTTTTTGGTTATACTTATTATGTAGATGCTTATATATATAGCAATAAAATCATCATTTTGATTGTGACTGGTTGCAGGGCTTGTGGGCGTGTTAAGCTGCCACACTTTTTTTGTTGCAGTGGAGATCGGGGAAATGGCCATGAGCGTGATGGCTCAACAAGTTGAGATTGAAGTTGCTGCGGTATAGAGCACCCAACTGTAGTAGACTCGTAGGATATCTCAGATTTTGAAGAATTGAAATGAAGCTTTTTCTTTTGCTGCTAAAAATGAAGCTCTCTGTTGAGATTGTTCTGTTTCCCAATCTATGGTTTACTATCAAATGCTTCTTTTGTGCCAAAACTAGCATCATTGAACTTGTTTACCACCTAGCAGAGGCTGCCTTAATTCTTTTTAGAATTTAATAAGTATAACGAAAAATTGCGTATGTATAGTTGGTCTTACATTCCTTAACCTTTTTCATAAAATCAATGAAACATATTATTTCATTTTGTCTACTGGTTGTGCCTGTTGTTAAGCTGGTGCAACCAACATTCCTGAACCTTAAAGAAATTTAGCTAGGAAAACCTTTGGTGGGAAGGGAAAGTCTGGATAGAAATAGAGGTAGAGGCAAGGCTGAAGAACAATCGTGAGCACATGTGAAATTACAGAAAATGTGGCAAAGGAATTTAGAACGGCCATTTTCCAAATTAAGCAAACATCTTATAATGAAATTAAGATGGGAACTTATAACAAGCCCTCATTAGAGTAACAAAGTCCAAAAACAAAAGATGAACACCACACCACACTCAACACGCATAATTGCTCTTCTTTTTTTTTGGTCGAAATCATATCTCATTTCATTAAACGTCAAATAGGCAAGTGTACAAAGCACAAACCAATGGCACAATAATAGAACCGTAACACAACCGGGACAGAACATCTAAACTCAAACCAAGTCTAGAATAGAGTTCACACACCCAGTACAATAACATAAACAAACTCAAAATAAAACAACACACATAATGCAGTGGCCCACCCCAAATATAATCAGAGCCCAAAAATAAGCATACAGCCCAGTTCATACCCAAAACTAGAATTTTGGCAAACCCTAGCCTAAGCACGCAAAAGCCGCCGCCGCCGTTGACCAGAGAACAGGGAGCGCACCACCTCAGCAGAAAGTGAAAGGAGACTTCACCACCGCACAAAACAGCATAGCTGCACACAAAAGACCCACAAATCTGCCACCAAGACCAGAAGCTCCCTGAACCACATAGCCGTATCAGCTCCAAGACATCCATCCATGAATCAACAACTCCACCAGGCTTGAACCCGCCTATGCCCCACAGAGAGTGCAGCAACCAATCAAAGCAAGACCAAGAGAAATGGAAACCCAAAGCCCATGGGATCAAGAGAGTGGAAGGTGGTGGTGCAAGCACCAGAGCAAGAGCTCTATACACCTTCCGATGGGGACGCGAGAGATCGCGTTTTGGATTAGCTTCTACAACCCGCAAGAGAGGCCAGATCGAAGAGGGAGGAAAGGAATCCAAGGGGTAGATGGAAGATGCTTGGACACAATTGGATTTAGAGAGAGGTTGATGGAGAATTGGGGACACATAATTAAAATAAGACATAAAGTCTCAGATCCACCCACAAGAGTGGAAAGAAATCACCAAAGAAAGCAAAGAGGGGGGAAATGGTGAGAATGGTGCAGGGTGTTGTGGATGGTAGAAGGAAGAGAGAGGAGAGAGAGGAGAGAGGAGAGGGTTGAGATGATAGTAGAGAGGAGAGGAGAGGAGAGGAGAGGCAGTGACCTCCTCCTCCCCCTTGTTGAGAAAGGGGCGGCTGGGTTTCCTAGGGTTAGTCGATATAAAAAAGATGAGATATCACTTAGTACAATCAAATAGTTCTTCATTCCTCGTCGCCCAATTTGAACGCATCGTGCAAATCATTGTGCATTTCATCCCAATTCTCCTCCGCATGCTGATGAAATGAGAATCCATCAACAGGAAGAACCAAATTGTCCATACCACGAAGAAATTCAGGAAATTCAGAACCCTCACACATAAATTTACTAATATGAGAGGCAAGCTTTGATATTTCATCATTGTTCTCATTGAAACCAGAACAATCTCTGGCGTCCAACATCACCAGATCTTTGCATCTGCACAGCAACATGACAAGACTATCCCGATTAACTTTTGCACCTTTCAAATTTAAGTACTTCATATTAGGCACCAACTTCACAATTGAGGATGCCTCACGTCCATGAAAATTAGCCTTTGGACAAAGCTAAACCATAAAAATTCTTGCAATGTGTTTGTATAATTGCAAGTATTTTCACCAAATTTAAGAATGAACCCAATGATAACACCTCCAAATTTTTCCACTTGCCAATCAACTCAAGGGTCGTGTGTTTGCTGTCCAATACATCTCCTGGTAAACTCGAAGTCACAAGGCCAGGACACCTGCACACATTCCACAACAACAAAAATGCTACATTTACATTTACAAGGAAAATTAAACTACACTTGGATTGGAATTTTGAAAATTAACTTAAATGAGAAAACTTACACATTTGCATCAAATTCAAAGGCTTCTACTGTGCAGCATTTGGGAAGCTTGAGCACAGTAGCATTTCCGCTACTCCTATTGATCACAAACTTTAGAAAAGCGGTGACAGAGCAACGATCCCCATCAATTTGATAATCACTCACAAATCTGTCCATAAGATTTTGAAAATTCAGACATTCAGACACATCCCAAGGCCAGACTTCAATACATTCGTTGTCCGGGAAAATGAGAGATTGCCAGCATGAAGGATTGAGGGTCACCTTGTACCATGACTTGCTCACAAAAGGGACATCCAAAAGCAGTGACTCCATTCCAACTTTCTCCAACATTTTGACCAAGCATTCCATTTCTAAGTCCTCCTATCTTCGTTCGTCCATCTGCAACAACGATTTAATATAACTACATCTGTATACAATAAATTAATTAAACACCAAATTAAAAGGGAAAAAAAAACCATAAATTTCAAAAGAATACAAAGAAACTTGGGAAAACAATCATATGGTAATCCTTTTCCTATATAATAAGAACAAACAAGAGAATTAATTGACGGAGTGTTGGATAATTGTTCATTCAACAAGCACTTTATGCATTTCAACAACAAAAAAGTAGGAAACTAGTTACTAGTCCAGCAATAATATAGAGGCAAGTACTTCACGAGGAAGCAATTCTAGTATTTCCTTTTGGAAAAGCAAGTAGGGGCCTTTTTTTCAAAAGCAAGAGACTCTTTGGCACCATAGCCTAAAGCTAAGAAGGAATTACCAAACCAAGCAAGGCCATAATTGTCCTATCACCAAACAAATCGTCCTTATCACCAAAAGGACTTTCCACATTTCAATGCAGTGCATTGGTTTCGGAGGGTGATTAGGGCTAAGCATAGTTTGATTAACCGGACCAAGTGCTTGGAACTATCTACCAAACTGAACCCGAACAAGTCGATGTTGGAAATTTTGTATTTTTTTCTTCTGCACCATGTCGTCAATGCGAAGAGAGAAGAGAATAAGGCGGAGTTGGCAGAAGGGAGGAATTGTCGTCGTTTTCGTTGGTGTGGTGAGGTGAACATGTCGTTTGGGAGAGAGCCAAGAGAGAAGACAATAAGGCGGGAAACAAGGAGAGGAATGGAATTAGATGAATTAAGAGTCTCATGATCTCTTCTTCTATGGACCTGACTTGTGCTTCACTGCTTCGGCTTCCCAATCTCAATCTCAAGCTCAAATTTGCAGCTAAATTTTTTAAATTTCGGGTTTTAGACTTTCAGTCAATTGCAGCGTTCGAACAATCAGCCTAGGCGGGCGCTAGGCGGCAGGGCGGGCCTCCTAGGCGGGTTGGGTCTTTTTTCGGTGCCGAACCCAGAGGACGAAGCAGCCGAAACCGAAGAAATCGAAGCTTTAGTTGATGGAGAAGCGAAATGGCTGTGACTGCGATCCGTCCTTTGCGAGGTGCAAGCTTCGTGTTCATTTTGAATATGTTTAAAGCGTATAGCCTAACGGCTATACTATTAAAATATTCGAATATATTAATATTTAAAGCGTATAGCCGAACGGCTATACTTTTAAAATATTCGAATGTAATTTGAAAGTGCAGCCGTGCGGCTATACTCTTCAAATATACAATTTCGCCATACCATTTTAAGGTTTAGGGCTAAAATACCACTTTAGCCCATTGGGCTACAGTTATTTCTTCAATTATTTTTTTTGTACAAGCGATATTGGGGAATGAGAATTTAAATTCTTTCCGACACCTTCCATTCAAATATGTAAAATGTTGCTATTGGGGTGTGGATGAGGGTGAGGGTGAGCTAGCCATCAGAAGGGAGTTCAATTCCCCAAGTCTTCTCCGCGTAGTCTCGAATTGTTCTGTCGCTGCTAAATCTCCCCAACCCGGCTGTGCTAAGGATGCTCATCTAAGTCCATTTATTTGGATCCACAAATGCTTTATCAGCAGCAGCCTGTAGTCATATAGATTCAAATCCCGCACACCATAGTAAGTTATACAACACCAAACTCAAAATGCATATATATATGCTTTGGGTTGGGACTGCCAAGTAAACAGAAATAATTACCTGAGCCTCTAAATAGCTCTAAAAATTAGAACCAAGCAAATAGAAGTCTTTACCACTACTGTCCACAGTATCACATAGAGATTGAAAATAGTCTTTAAAGCTGAAATAGCCATCTCGGACCATCCTACACATAATAAATATCATAGCAAAATTAGAACCTGAGGAAACATTTCGCTCAGAACATCACACAACGGTAAAAAACAACACCAAACACATGTCCTCTAAAGAATTTGAAAATTCTAGACCGGTCACCCCAATCACCAACTGGCTAAGTGAGTATGATTGAAGTGACTGTAATTGCGTACCTTATAACACGTGCACATTGCAGTGGCATTTTAGGAGATCCTTCCTCATGCAATTTGGGAACTTCATGAATCTTTGTCCCAAACAAAAACTGGAGAAAGCAAATTCTAATAGAATTATCTCTGCTATACTACAAACAAGTATGTACTATATACCAATCTAAAATCTTGAAATAGTCAATACACAGATTCCATCTTGCAGAAGTTACAGCAAAAGAAAATTTCAGTTGGTCGAGAATACTTGACATCACAATCAGCTAAGCTGAATTCAACTACTTTAAGTTGGCTACATAAATCTCGCTCGTCCTTTCCATTCTCTATGGAAGCTCATGTTATGTTCAGTCACACGTCATCTATCTTTAGAGAAGGTCAAAGATCAATTCATATCACAGTGATTATACTAATTTTTTGATCCCAGCAAAGGCCCAAGCTTTTGTGCCATGCCGAGCACAGCCCACTAATATTCGTGCTTCTGCAGTGCCGTGCCCCATTTAAATGGGCTGGGCTCGTGCCGTGCTGGGCCGGCCCATCCCGTTTGACACCTCTATGCTTGACATCAACATCAACAAACAGATTGAAAATATACTAGATGAGTGGTTCGATGGGATAGTTCATTTCATAATTAGGGTCTTTGATTAAAGGAAATATGGCGACAGATTTAGGGCCATTTGGAACATAAGAAGATCTAACAAAAACGTGCATCAGATATCTTTCAAACTATTATACATCCATGTTTGTAATGATTACAGTCGCTGTTGTAGGCATTGATCTATGCATCAAATCTCCTAACTTAGGCCAACATAGTAACAGTTGCTATCAAATATACCTGTTAACAATATCAAATTCTCGAAAATTTCTTTCATTCAGAACTTGTGACACTTTCAGCTAGTGAGTTTTGATGAGAGCAACTCCGATTAAGGACAATACCACAGAAATAATTAAAAAGAAATAAAATTGACTACATATCATAAAGAAAACTAATTCCTCATTTGCAAGAGCTGCTGTGAATTCATTCTTTTCCAGTTTCTCTTTGATGAAATGTTGTAACAGCATAAAGAAAATTGGCCTAGGCGGTCGTGATTGTACATAATGGTGCAGTCCTCAACAATATAACATATGCATTCATGGTAAGAAAACCTGCTAAATGAGATTATTTAGGGTAATACAAGCATCTCTGTCATGTAATTCTCAGTGTTTTACAACTAATAATTTTGGAGGTAGGAAGAGACAATCCATTACATGTTTAAGTTTTGCAAAGATTTGTGGCTCAACATCTTCAAGATTGAAGTGATATAGTTACACATGCCTTCAGAGTTCTTAAAAATTAGAAAACCAACCACCAAAATTTGGAAACTATTCTATAAAAGTAAAGAGATATGAAAATGTAAACAACAGCAGACTTAATGGCAGAAAACTATAAAGATGTATCACAGGAGTGGCCTCAGTGTCCTCCTAAGAACATTGAAGAAATATTTTCCTTTTCCATTGTTCTGTAACAATGTCAGCCATCTGAAAGCAAAGAGCAAGAAGCCAATGGCAAAATGAACACCACACACTCATAGCCATAGACCATAGATGGATTGAGTACATCAGTGCATGACCTTTTGAGCCTGAGAGGCAACCGTTTCGAGTCTATCCTCAGCATCTTGTGCTTTAGACTCTAAAACATGAAGATCAAAGTTGTACTTTCTTGATGCAGCCCACAGAAGCCGTACCTAAAAAGCATTGCAAAGCCTATTTCTCAAATCCAACAAACTCTTTCAGCTACTTTTTCATTGAATTGAAAATTGCAAAAAATAAATTGAAAAAGATATGAACCCCTTCTTCTAGAGCATTAAGCCTCTCATCAGTAGCCAATGAGTCTCTCTGTGACATACAAATGCAACCAAATATTATATATTTGCTTTCAATTTAGCATATACTTGAAAGCTGAAGACTTGAAGCTGAAACGGGAAACAAACCTTAAGAGTGAACAAAACAGACTGCAAATGATGAATCTGGGTTTAATAGAAGTATGGAACTCAAGGAATGATCTGTTCTTCTATGGACCTGACTTGCGCCATGTGAGATGTTGTGCTTCACTGCTAGGAGGCTAGGCGGTCGCTAGGCGGGCGCTAGGCGGCTAGGTGGTCTCTAGGCGGGCGCTAGGCGGCTAGGTAGTAGCTAGGCGGGTTGGGTCTTTTTCGGTGCCGAACCCGGAGGACGACGCAGTGACTGCGAGTGCAACTTCCGTCCTCTGCGAGTGCAAGCTTCGTGAAATATTCGAAAGTATAGCCGATCGGCTATACGTGAAATATTCGAAAGTATAGCCGGCCGGCTATACTCTTTAAATATACAATCCTGTCATATTATTTTAGAGTTTAGGGCTAAAATACAAAAAAAAACATGAGAAGAAAGCTCCAACTGCACATCATATCTCATTGAAAAATCAACAAATTACAGTCCAACTTCTTAAATTACCGTGACAAGAAGATGAACTAGGTCTGGATTGTGACACTCAGGGTGAGAACCAAGGCTGTGAGGGTGGTCTCATGGATGATGCCTTTAAGTTTGTAATGCGCAACAAAGGCCTGGCAGCTGAAGCAAACTACCCTTATAGAGGAGTTGATGGAATTTGCAACAAGAACAAGGTAGCATATCATGCACCAAAGATCACAGGTTACGAAGATGTACCAGCCAACAAGTTGGCTTTGTTGAAGGCCGTGGCCAATCAACCTGTTTCTGTTGCAATTGACGCCGGTGGATACGAATTCCAGTTTTACTCACGTGGGATTCTCACAGGAGATTATGGAACTCATTTGAACCATGGTGTCACTGTAGTTGGGTATGGGACAGGTGCTGATGGTACCAAGTATTGGTTAGTCAAAAACTCATGGGGTGCAGAGTGGGGTGAGGGTGGATATGTAAGAATTCAAAGAGATGTGCAGACTAGGCAAGGCCTTTGTGGCATTGCCATGAAAGCTTCTTATCCTACTGCTTGAATTTCTATAGCTATTATTAGGAAATATTCAATCTTCATCTTGTGTTCTTATTGATCATGTAATTTCTTAGTATGTAGGTTTTGGAATCAAGGAATGTGAGATGTTGTGCATGAAGAACTGCTCCTGCACAGCTTTTGCAAACGTGGATACCAGGGATGGAGGAAGTGGGTGCCTGCTGTGGTTTAGTGAGCTGATTGACATAAGAAATTTCACTGAAAATGGGCAAGATATTTATTTTAGAATGGCAGCATCAGAACTAGGTATGGAGTCATTTTTAATCTCAAAAGTCAGTGTGTTAATGCAAATTGTAAAGAAAATAAGAGAAAAAAAGAAACATCTTTGGATATGGAACAGTCAATTGGGAGTTATCCATCTCTTCATGATCATGTACAAAAAGTAAAGTCAAACATATCAAACCCAAAGGTTGTTACTCTATAATTTTGGATTTGGACACAATTATCAAACTCTTCTTTCAAAATTCGTCTGTTATGATCAATGGATGATAGACATTACAGAAGGTTTTTTTTTTCTTTATCAATATCTAACTTCTCACTTTTTTTTGCTTTCAAATATATTTCCTGCCTAGATCATGAAGACTATACAACATTCAGTGCTAAACCTGCTAAAACCCAATTTCCGCCCCTGGGGGTTAGGCCACTTGGGTTATATTTTATAGTCTCAATGAATGTGAAGAAAGTAAGAATCATAGTAGGCAGTATTGTGTCATCTCCTGGGCTCCTCCTGGGTGTAGCTCTGTTTTTCTAATGTTTGGAAGAAGCAGCACCAAATAGATGGTAAGTTGTTTTCTAGTCATCTACCCCTTCAGTTTCCAATAGGATATAGAGAGAAACTTGGTTATTTGAAAATTTAACTACAATGGCCTATTGCTATATAGATGACATGATGTTAGAATTGAAAAAAATGAAATCTGTGTCAAATTATAGGATAGCATCTCCCAATTGGAGACGCTCTTATTGGTACTTCTCTTGGGCATTTGTCTATTAAAGTCAAATGTGGGGTTCATCACTTCTACTCTCTTTTTTTTCCCCATTTGTCAACTCACTTAAGTATTAACTTGAGGGAGAAAAAAAACTGAAAGCGAGAAAAAAAATTAGGAAGAATTAAAACAAGTATACAATTCAGAAAATTGCAGCTTCCTTTGAGTTGATTTGGTATTTGATTCTGGAAGACTGACCAAGTGAGTAAATGATTTAGATTTTTCTACTAGAGGAACGCTCCTAATTGTCAATTGTCAGGCGAGACACCATCATTCTTGAACTCAATTTGGAGTAAGCCCACTTTTGATTGAAGAGAATTTTCTCCATTTCACACTGGAAAGAGTGATGTTTATTTGCATTCAATTACGCATCTAAAATTGGTATGACGTGCATCGATATTGTCGATAATGCATAAGTAATGTGTTTACATCGATAATTGATATTGTGTCAATACGAATTCTACTCCAAGCTATAGTGAAAGGGGATCCCTTATGAGAAATTCATCCTATTTATCTGTCCTTGAAACTTTAGTAATTTGTCTCCCCACTATTCAACTTTAGTATTGAAAGCTTACTAAATTGTCTTCCCAGCTACTCAACTTAACTATATACTGTAGGGTGTTTCTACTTTCTAATCAAGTATTGCCAATGCTGCTAATTGTGAGATTTTTTAAAGTAAGAGACCGTTACGGACAAAGCTTTATCAAATTAATACAATTATCTTCTAATTAGAGTCAGACTCTCCATATATAGTGCAGATTAAAAGAAACACACCCCTCACTGGTTCATCAGGTGTACTCAAGGTGAGCAGCCCTGGAATTCTTGTCCTTGTCGACCATAAGAACACTACAGTTTGGTCTTCCAACACATCAAGTTCTGCACAGAATCCAGTGGCACAGCTTTTGGATTCCGGAAATCTTGTTGTGATAGATGGCAATGGTTATAATGACCCTGATAATATTTTATGGCAGAGTTTTGATTACCCAGGTGATACATTAATACCAGCTATGACGCTTGTTGGGAACAAAATCACAGGTTTTCATTGGCATCTTATACCCTGGAAAAGCCCCCAGGATCCTTCTCAAGGACATTATGCACATCAACTTGGATACCATGAATTAATTCTGAGGGAGGGTTCTGTTATAAAATATCGGACTGCACCATAGAATGGAATCCAATTTAGTGGGATGCATAATATAAATCCAACATATGATTTTGTGTTGGATAATGATGATGAAGTATATTATGGTTATAAGCTTCTCAACAGCTCAACTCTTTTCAGGCTGGCTTTGACTCAAGATGGATTTGGGCTGAGCTACATCGGGAGTGATGGAAACCAAGGTTGGGTTGTTTATCTAATAGCACCGACTGATATCTGTGACAAATATGGAATATGTGGTCCAAATGGTGCATGTAGTATTGACAAGTCCCCAGTATGTAGCTGCTTGAAAGGATTTATACCGAAGTTTCAACAAGACTGGGACTTGGTGGATTGGTCATATAGCTGTGTGAGAAAGACCCAACTGAATTGCAGTGGAAACATCTTTAAGAAGTATTCTGGGCACATTTCGACCATCGCAATAGAAAATTATATGCTTCATGTACCCAGGAAAAAAGAAAAAAAGAAACGTGTTAATCAAACAAACTAATTCTGATGAAGTTGAACTACTTGGGCAAATCAATTGAACTAAGAATATGTAATTGCAGCTTCTTTGGAGCAAAGGACAATAGCAGACATGATAAACCGATCAATTAAAAACTGTCACTATTTCCAAGTAAATTGAAAAACAAATCCGTCACTCTAACTCGTTGATACCCATAGCTTGTCACTATCATCAGTATATATTTCAACATACATTCAAATATACATAACCAAATATTATATATTTGCTTTCAATTTAGCATATACTTGAAAGCTGAAGACTTGAAGCTGAAACGGGAAACAAACCTTAAGAGTGAACAAAACAGACTGCTAATGATGGATCTTCTGCAAATGATGAATCTGGGTTTAACAGAGTATGGAACTCAAGGAATGATCTGTTCTTCTATGGACCTGACTTGCGCCATGTGAGATGTTGTGCTTCACTGCTAGGCGGCTAGGCAGTCGCTAGGCGGTCGCTAGGCGGCTAGGCAGTAGCTAGGTAGGAGCTGGGCGGCTGGGCGGCTGGGCGGCCGCCTAGGCGGGTTGGGTCTTTTTTCGGTGCCGAACCCGATGGACGGAGCAGTGACTGCGAGTGCAAGTTCCGGCCACTGCGAGTGTAAGCTTCGTGTTCGTTCGAATATATTTAAAGAGTATCGCCGCTCGGCTATACTTTCTAAATATTCGAATGTATTTAGAAAGTATAGCCGAGCGGCTATACGTTTAAAATACAAGCTTCTGTCATGTAATTCTCAGTGTTTTACAACTAATAATTTTGGAGGTAGGAAGAGACAATCCATTACATGCTTAAGTTTTGCAAAGATTTGTGGCTCAACATCTTCAAGATTGAAGTGATATAGTTACACGTGCCTTCAGAGTTCTTGAAAATTAGAAAACCAACCACCAAAATTTGGAAACTGTTCCATAAAAGTAAAGAGATACGAAAAAGTAAACAACAGCAGACTTAATGGCAGAAAACTGTAAGGATGTATCACAGGAGTGGCCTCAGTGTTGTAAGAACATTGAAGAAATATTTTCCTTTTCCAACAGCTGTTACAGACCAATTAATAAAGGCCTTTTGACACATACCTCATGCTGAGACCTTTTAAATTCTGCAAAGACTCTCTTGAACTGATGAAAATCTAGAGAGATATAGGATCTGAAGTTAGGCCCAAGCGTCTTCAGCAGAGGGTCAGCAGAATGGTTGTTTATGAACTGCAAAACATCAGATTTGTTGAGTTTATGTGAGACTATATTTTGTAAAAAGGAAAATAGGTCAATTGTCGAAAAGACTTGATGCTGTCAGTGCTGACGGGATTTAAATTCCCGTGACAGTTCACAGATGGTCAGAATATTATATTGACTATATATCAACCTATCTGAAGTTATGAACTACTACCACGAGTGTGGGATATCCAATATTACCTTCAAGAATGTGCATCTTGTTAATTGTCTTTGAACCCTTATAGTCCTCATCTATTTACTTATTTTTTTCAAAAAGAAACTAGCAAATATTAGTGAATCAGCAAAACTTATGAATTTAGCAAATAAAGAACCTGAAGCCCGTTTCAAGCAGAAAAAACTTACTTGTGTAATATGAAGAGCCTGCTCAAGCTGCTGAATTTGAATCCATTGTTCTGTAACAATGTCAGCCATCTGAAAGCAAAGAGCAAGAAGCCAATGGCAAAATGAACACCGCACACTCATAGCCATAGACCATAGATGGATTGAGTAAATCAGTGCATGACCTTTTGAGCCTGAGAGGCAACCGTTTCGAGTCTATCCTCAGCATCTTGTGCTTTAGACTCTAAAACATGAAGATCAAAGTTGTACTTTCTTGATGCAGCCCACAGAAGCCGTACCTGAAAAGCATTGCAAAGCCTATTTCTCAAATCCAACAAACTCTTTCAGCTACTTTTTCATTGAATTGAAAATTGCAAAAAAGAAATTGAAAAAGATATGAACCCCTTCTTCTAGAGCATTAAGCCTCTCATCAGTAGCCAATGAGTCTCTCTGTGACATACAAATGCAACCAAATATTATATATTTGCTTTCAATTTAGCATATACTTGTAAGCTGAAGACTTGAAGCTGAAACGGGAAACAAACCTTAAGAGTGAACAAAACAGACTGCAAATGATGAATCTGGGTTTAACAGAAGTATGGAACTCAAGGAATGATCTGTTCTTCTATGGACCTGACTTGGGCCATGTGAGATGTTGTGCTTCACTGCTAGGCGGTCGCTACGGCGGGCGCTAGGCGGCAAGGCGGTCGCTAGGCGGGGGCTAGGCGGCTAGGCGGGCGCTAGGCGGCTAGGCGGTTGCTAGGCGGGCGCTAGGCGGCTAGGCGGTCACTAGGCGGTCGCTAGGCGGCTAGGCGGCAGAAGCTAGGCGGTGCCGAACCCGGAGGACGAAGCAGTGACTGCGAGTGCAAGTTCCGTCATCTTCGAGAGAAAGCTTCGTGTTTGTTCGAATATATTTAAAGAGTATAGCCGTTCGGCTATACCTTTAAAATATTCGAATGTATTTAGAAAGTATAGCCGAGCGGCTATATGTTTAAAATATTCGAACATTTTCTCAGAAACATACAGATAAAACAAAAGAACAATAATGATGTTTAAAGTTTATATGATGGATAGAAACGCAGGGAAATAAGACGTGCGAAAGTAAGAAGGAAAGCTTGGTGTTGGTGAGAGATAAGACTTTGGGGGGCATAGACATGAAGAAAGACGTGCAAAAGTAAACAAGGAAGGTAAAGAAAAAAAAAAGGGTCAGGACGTTAAGTTTGACGTTAGTTGGGCTAGGGTAATTATTATCTATATATATAAAGCAAAAGGCAGAGAATGGTGAAACATTCAAAATACCAGAAAATGCCCTTGGCTAATGCAAACATTAAGAATTGAAATTATTAATTAAGTGAGGATAATATGATAAATTTACACTTTTTCATATTACAAAAATTTAAAATTAAAAGAAAAATCAAATAATGAATCCTCTTTTTATGGAACGCAACTACCTATTATCTTTTTTAATTCTAAAATATATTTAATTTTTTCTTTTAAAAAGCCTCTCGCAAGCGCGGATGCGCATGCAGAGAGGCTAGTTTTTAATTAAGAGTAAATTGGGTTTTTGCTTGAAGAATGATGTGTCAATTTTTAAAGTCTCTTATATTATATTTAATGAGGTGGTGTACGGAAGACAAAAGTCAAGCAGATCTAAGCAAAGGTAAAAGTCAGGAATTTAAGAGGAGAAATTGACAATTCCCTTGTTTGGCAAGTTAAGCCCGGAATTTATTAAATAACGCGTTGAAAAAATCGTGGAAATTGGAGCATCAAATTCCCGAGTTTAATTTCCCTCAAAATAAGCGTCATTTCACAAGTTCCATAGTACCATTTACAAAATTTTGTCATTTACAAAATTCGACATAAATAAATCCAAACATCGAAATCTTCAATTAATTGCCAGAAATTGAAATTATAGAAATCGAAATTTTGTCATTTTAGAATTCTATGTAATTTTCAATTTCTTCATCCAAACGAAGGGTCATGTTTCCCTCCTATAGGAAACTAAGATCATCATTTAACACACCATTCAAGACCAATTTGTCCCCATTAACAATTTAGAACTACAATTTTATCCAATAACAAAGACCCTTTATAATTTTTTATTTTATTTTATTTTATAATTGGAAAACTAACCAAAGTTTGCTTTCCATTGTAGAGAGATGAGAGAAACGCAAGCTAGTCTAAATACCTATTAGTATTACCAGTCAATGAAAGATTGATTTTCTTCAAAATGCTAAAAAAATAAATAAACTTTAATTTTAATTACCAAGTGCCAAAATCCACATATGGAGTCCAACTTGTACATGTATATGAGCAGGGACGGACCTAGGATTTTAAAATAGGGTGGGCTAAAGTTGGGTAATAAGAGCGTCCACAATGGGCTTCCTAAACCACATTCTTAGACAAATTTTTTTTCTTCTCTACATGCAAGGGTAGTATGATGCTTCTTCTTATTTATTTTTTTTCTATGTGCTGTGTCTGAGTTATTTTATTTTTTTCTCTTTTTTTTCTTTTGTTGTGCTGTGTGTGTTCCCCCACACCCCAACTAGATGAGGTTAGGTTATTTAAATTGGGTGAGCCCTCTTCTTTTTAATGACTAGGAGAACTAGATGAGGTTAGGTTATTTAAATTGGGTGAGCTAGGATTTTATTTTTTTGGCTGGAAAAAAGAAGCCGCTTGGGCTATAGCCCGGGTTTGCCAAACTAAAGGTCCATCCCTGTATATGAGTATGACACGATTTGTTTTCTTTTCTCTTCTTTTTTGGCTTTTGGTGTGGAAAGCTTGCGGCCTTTTACCTTTTATTTTTGGACAAGTTATGTGATGTTTTTAATTTTTTACCTTCTCACAAAAAAGTTGAAACTTTTAATTTCTCCCCCTAACAAACTTAATTAACAGATGAGTTCGTTTTTCTATTCCCCTCCTAAACTAAAGTTGGTTTAGAGGACTTTAGTTGGCTTTGCTAAAGACTCTTTCGTTATAAGAGGCAACAAGATGACATGAGAACACAGCACAATCTTAACTACTGTTTACACAATCTTGCATCTTTTCACAATGTTGGAAGAGGAGCAAGATCGAATCTCCCGTCTCCGTTATTAAATTAAAAAAAACTATAATTAACTTAACACAGCATAAGATAAAGGATCAGATAAGGAGAGATCAATGTTGATTAGGAAACTACACTTGCTAGCGCAAGCTTTAGCAGAGCAAGAACAAAGAAACAAACATCATATTAGTACCTGGCCAGTGCCACCAAGGCTAATGGGCTGGACTGGCAATATTTTTTTACTGCTGTTATCCAATGGTTCACGTTCAAACTGTTTTTTTTTTTTACAAAATAACTAACAGCCAGCTAAATATCTAACGGCCCACATTCAATCAAATAAAGTTCAACAGTAGAAAAAATTCAAAGTTTTACTATCTATCAATCTAGCTCATATCCAAATTTTCACAAACTCCTTCCTCCTGCATGTATATCATGATGGCTTTAACTTTTCAAGCTCCACCAACGTGCACAAGGGCATCGATCTCATCACCATCTACCATTCCAAGCTGCACAAAGTTAAGTAGCAAATAAGATCAATCAATGGACACATGATTGAAAACAGAAATATATATTGCTTGACTTTAAATTCCACAAGAAGCATAACTTTTGTTCAAACTGGCTTTGATGCATCAAAGGGCATCAGCTAGTAAAGTAACAATCATTTCACCAACAATTAAATTACAGCTTATGAAGACCTATCACGAATTCGATGGTAGTCGAACCTAAGCCCTGTTGGATGTAACACAAAGCCAACAAGCTATAAAGGGTAGTTTTTAGCTCTATACAAGTCATGACGCATAATATAATCCCCACTTTGGAGAAATACAACAATAATCTACATTATCAATTACATGTAACCCACTACTAATTGCACCGAGCCCTTTCGAGTGAAAACCGTACACGTAGAGGGTTCATTGAGCATTCTCCCACCCAAAAGATGATTAAGTATAATATTTAGTTCACGCGTGGACTTAGTAGTGCGTTTCTACAAGGCCCGTGACACAACTCTAGCAACAATGAAATTTATTTTCACGATTAACATTCTAAGTAACTTTTATGAACTTTTACCTCCTCCGGAGTTTTGTTCTTCTTGAGTCCGACGCCATCAAACGTGAATTGCATTGATCTGGGGTCAAGGGAACGCTTTTTGCAGAACGCTTCCATGAGTTTTTGCAGTTTGATGTTTCTTTTAACCCGGAAAAGAGTTTGAACTCCATCCTACACGTGGATCTCATCATATAACAAATGAATCCCATCAAACTATACTGGATCTATTTATTCTAATATATGGCATTATAATTCAGTGATAATTTGGTGATATTAAACAGAGAAAACATGAAACTAAATAAGGTACGGCGAGTAGAAAAGTCAATTTACACAATCAACAGAGAAAACAAAGAAATTAATTAACAAAATAAATAAACAAGAAAGAAAGATGATTGGTAAACTAACAAAACATTGAAATTTAGGGGGAAAAAATGATTGGTGCTTGAGTTAATTGAGGGCAATTAATATAAAAATCATGAGAGTGTACAGTAATTTTGAGTTTTTGTAAGAAATAGTTAGCCATCCAAACATAAAAATAAAAAGTATAAAACAATTTTGAGTTTTTGTAAACTAGGAACCATGCTGCAAATCACCAGCTGAGTGCCCCTCCAAGTAAGGTGTTTCCTTTCTAGTACAGACTAGAAGGGTGTTTTAGTCAATTTCAAATCCAAATTTTGGCTAATGTTGAAATGTTTCTTGGAGAGAGAAAAAAATTTATCCATCTTAGTTCTTACATAAACCCATCAACCTCCGAAGTCTCCCAGTAACCCTAATGGAAACCCAATTTCTTCCTTTCATTTCGTTATAGGAAAAGGAAAATTAGAAAGGAAAAATAAACAAGGTTAACATTTTTCATTAACAACACATGCAAGGAAAAGAGAAAAGAGAAAAGAGTGGGAGAGAATCAAACCTCGTTGTACCGAACCTTAAGCTTCACAGTGTCTTCATCAGATCGACCTCTAGACATCTTAAGAGCTAGGGTTTTTCCTTTCTCTGTGTAACTGTGTTGTGTTCTTGGGAGCTTTTTTTGGAGTCAGAAGTTCTGTTCTTGGGAGCTTTGTGTCTTTGTGTTTTCTTTTCTGTTTTTATTTATTTAAGTTTTGTCTGAAATAGTTCATGCGTACGTACTACGTACATAGCTTTGAAGAGAAGAGCAGGTGAGGTGCAATCAATGTAATAGATTTGGGAAGGTTACGTGCTGCACCAACTTCAGAGACTGACCCGTGACTTTCCCTCTTTTGGTAAATTAACTTCAAAACTACTTTTAATAAATGATTTCAAAATGAAGGGTATAATGGTAACTTCATCCAATTTGTTTATTTACCAAATTGGATCAAAATTCTCTCCCCATCTCCTTTCGAAAATATTTTTGCTTACCACTTTAACCCAATG